TTCAGCTACTTCATGGTTCCTTATAAATGTATTGGCATTCTTTATAAAACTCAAAGATTTGGTATGCTTTTGTTCCATGTACAACTACAAATATCGGGGTTTCTCACCTTTTCCAGTATATGTGTTCTTTTTTGTCAGATTCAAGTAGCACCAGCTACCTCACCAATAGCAAAAACTTCTTTAAGCAGGATATTATTAGTTGCAAAAAGGAATTGTGAGTAACACTCTCAAGTGCATCTTCTCATGCTCGAGAAAAGTTAAAGATCTCTAATATATGTTTGAAACTGTTCTTGCCTGAAAATTAAGATAAAATAAGCAAATGCCAAAAATAAAAGGTTCGTAAATCAAACAAATATTTTCTTTTCATTTGTTAAATTATTAAATGTTGCTTTAATTCGTTGGTTTATAGGTTGTTGTTTTATATGCCATTCTTAACCATGATTGAGAATCTAGAGAACAAACTAGCGAGAAGAATGTGGATTGAAGGTCCATGTATTGATATCCATTTAAGACTAGAGAAAGATGTATGTGTAAGAACAATGCATATGAGATTGCAGGTAACTTGAAATTGACACTAGAAACTGAAATTTAATATGTATGTTAATTTGATGGAAATTTAAAAGTTTTAGTATTTTTGGATTCAGTGTTGCTAAAGGCTTTGGGAGCACCAATAGATCTTCATTTTAGCAGCATTGTGTTTTTTTTTCTTTCTTCCTCATGGCGGAAATATGGCAAAATCTATGTGTGTAAAAAAACACGCAGAACATGAATATTCTTACCTTTTTTATCGAAAGAACATGAATATTTTCTTTTGAGATTATCATTGCTCGATTTTACTATTATCATCAATCAAGTTGTACAATAAAATGACAAAATATAAAAAAGCTTATTGCTGTTTGTTGATAGAGGAAATACCACGACAAATCGATGACTTGAATCCCTTAATGTAAAAATCAAATCATTTCTACTGATTATATGCATGTTTAGGGTTTAGACGTTCATGCTAGGTCTAACATCTCTAATCAAAGATGTTGATAGCGAAAGGTTACTAAAAATGATTAAAT